TTGTGACCCTCTAAAAATAAAGTTGGCTCGTTCGTTTGTTCCATCTCCAGCCAATTCTCCAGCCCTATTCTCTTTCACAGCCAATGCATTTTCATTGTCCAGTATCCACCTTTACAGAGGTCGACCTCTGCTTTCATTTCTGGAAACCACCCACCATCATTATTTTGTTTCAAAGGAGAAACAACACGACCATACTTTGTCATTACCAGAAATCAAAACACTTATCAAAGCAAAATACCAGGGATTGTGGAGAGAACAACTAACAGTAAACATCCACAAGACCCCATCAGCAGACTCAACAGAAAGTAACATACCACAATTTTCCGTCTACAAACAGGACACTGCAGGCTCAACTACCACATGTATAAAATAAAGATTGTAGTCTCCAGTGTGCCTGTCAAACAGGACCACAAACACCTCAGCACAATCTGCAGACCTGCCCACTCTACCTGCAACTTCGAAAAGACACCTGGCCTCAAGAGCAAAGTGTGCAGAGCAAGCTATGGGGGACCACGCAGGACTGCAGCTGACATGCAAGTTCATAGAGGCAACCCACCTGTTGGTCTGATCTGAGCATACGAAACCGAACGCACAGGAGAAGAAGAGATTATTTTGTTTCCAGGCGCCCCACATGAAGTTTAACAAGGCCAAAATAGCTGAGCTTCTGGGACATGATGCTCTTTATAAACCAGTTCTCCTCAATGTTGAGATCATGTAGATTTTGATGTTCTCTTCTTCTTGGTACAAGGTATTCTAAGAAATATCTTTGTCACATTTCAGTTCAAAAGTTTACTTCAATGACTGAGTTGAGTCCAAGACTCACATCCAAGAGTTACCACGGGAAAGATGCACCAACTCAGAATTTTTACTTAACTAAGCTTGAGAATTTCTGCAAAAATCATCTTCATTTCGAGTTCGCTTTCTGATTTACACAGACAAACAAGTTCCTGTGATAAACTTGACTGCTTTTAGGAGTTCTCTATTAGTTCCATATAAATAAAGGTTCGTAAATTGTTGCTGTGATTGTTATTCGACATTTGCTTCGTTAATATAAATTTCTGTAACCTATGGTGCCATTTCAATGGGTTGAAATGAATTCTGTCCGTATTCCATACTTGTGGATTTCAAGCTGTACGATAGACATGGCCAATAAGACATCTTTTTTGGGGGTGCCTAGTTGACCATGTTCTTTAGTGCACTTGTATTCATGGCGAGGCGCAGACGCCCTCTGGAGGTGACAGGTTCAATTCCTGGCACGGTAACTATAGCTTTCGATTTTTATGTTGTCTAGTGTGTTCTTTTATCTTTCTACTTTTTTCTATGAGTGCCGATCAATACACTTTCTGTTACTCGATTAATTAATAATATTAGTTCCATACAACTTTGAGTGCAGTGTTGACTCACTGGTCAGTTTTTCCTTCTTAATGGGCTGCAGAAGGGACAGATTTGCAAGACATGTTCCGCAGTCTGCACACACAGCTCACACACACAGCCCACACGGGCACAAAGGTGAGACAAAGCCTGTGCATACGCTTGTTAAGTTTGATAGGTCCTGTCCTGAGGCATAGTATAATGACCCATCCTTGTCGGTCAAGTAAGTAGTAGTCATCTCTGGCCAGATCCTGTTCACTTCTGACAGACTGGATGGTCTTTTTCTTCTCAAAGTATGTTACTGCAATCTCTTTGCAAAAATCATTGAAAACAAAAATACTGCAAAAATAAAAATCATAAACAGCCAGGTGAAACATGTAACATTTGTGAACATTTACAAAGGGCACTGGTGAAACATGCAGACCATTAAAGACATGAAGGAAAAATTAAAATTAATTTAAAAAACCAAATGCCTGAGGAAATTGTTGAACATTAACGGAGATGAACTCAAGGAAGGTGAAGAAATCAGACAAATGTTTGGATAACCACTGGTATCAAATGCTATAGGATAAAATATATTGGAAACATCTTGAGCGGAAGTGAACAGAAATCACCAAACAAGTTCTGAATTTGTAAAATAACCGACTGCAGAAGTGGAGACATTCAAGAGAAACCCTACGATGAACAGTGACGGAAGATGCCAAAACAATATTGAAAATACAGCATTAGATAAAACAGACTGGACAAACTGACTATGACAGTTACGTGATGAATGCATTGTTAATTGTTCACTGTTCATTCAAAGATCATCGTCAACACACGTCGGACATGACCATAAGTGCTCTGATCTTCTGAGCATGCCTCCAAGTGTTTCTGGGCTAACAACTCCCATTCTGTTCTGTTTGATGTAACAACTGGTGGCTCCCACATGGTTTTCCTGTCTCGCGGCTCCAACGGGTACAATGATGAATACATCACACAACAGGATGATCTTTGTCGACACTGAGAATTATATGATTCTAATTCTTTCATTTATTCTATAATATACAATTGTCTTTCTGATGTTTCAATTACAATGTCACCTATTGGCATGGTGTTTTGTTTTCCTTGGTGTTTTTAATGCTTTACTGACTTCTTCAGCTTGGATTCTGAAAGAAAAAAGAGGAAAGGTTTAATATATATCCTAGCATCAGATTCCGCATCCACAAATAACTGGACAAGAACCCTTTACTTTTTTTTTTTAAACTAAAGAAATAAGTCACCCAATTCCATTTTATCACAGAATGTTCGGCTAAATCAAGTCTGCCTATTATATAACAGATTTGCCTGTGTGGGTTCTGAGGCTCCATTCTAGGGAAAATAAAAGACCCACTGAACCGTATGTAACAAGCATGTTGAATAAATGAATGAATGAAGAATGAATGAATGAATGATAAATTGACATCATTTAGCTCGGGATATTCCCACACGTGCTCTGTCCCATTCTTCAGTAGCCAACAAAGAAGTGGCATGTTAATTGTACCAGTTGCAACTTGATTAAAAGTCCGTCTATGTTTCCCCTTCAATGTTGAACATCTCCCAAAACCTCTACCCAACCCCCGTTAAATTAATCATTCAGTGTATGGATCCCTGTGTATTCTTTAACACTGTCCATCTGATCCCATAGAACGGCAGCAGCCAATTTATCAGCCTGCTCGTTACCTTGAACACTTGAATATCCTGGATAGAACATCCATGATATGCTCTTGATCAGGGTTTTATCCAGTGATATAAGGCACTCTGATTGCAGGACACCAATTTAAATTTTCCGAAGCATGCTCTGTGAGTCTGCTGCAATCACAATATGTTGGGCTGTGCTGCTCTCAAGCCATCGGAAAGCCGCCTCCACCTCCATTCTCATACTGGATGTAGTGACGATGTACGCGAGGCACTTTGTTTTCAACCAGCATCCATTCACCCTTGCAATAAAACCCCACCCACTCTACTTACCTCTCACCACAGACCCATCTGTATATATTATGATGTCACATTGTTAAGCACCACTGACTCTGTTTCTATCCATTCAAGGCTGAAGTTAACTATCACTCTGTTTCTATCCATTCAAGGCTGAAGTTAACTATCACTCTGTTTCTATCCATTCAAGGCTGAAGTTAACTATCACTCTGTTTCTATCCATTCAAGGCTGAAGTTAACTATCACTCTGTTTCTATCCATTCAAGACTGAAGTTAACTATCACTCTGTTTCTATCCATTCAAGGCTGAAGTTAACTATAACTCTGTTTCCATCCATTCAAGGCTGAAGTTAACTTTCACTCTGTGCAAGTCTGTTTCTCTTGGTGGCCCTGTAAACTATTCTTCACCATGTGCTATCTTGTCAGTAGAGCAACCCATTCTGATCTCCAGTTGCTACACTACCCCCCCCCCCCCCAAAAAAAAACCAACACGTATAAGATGACTCAAATTTTGTTTTTTAAAGTTCAAAGTTAAGAAATAATTATTTTAAACACATTCTATATTTAAGTTGAAGTTGTTTTTTTTTTTTTAAGTTAGCTGCGTATCTTTTACAGGACATTGCAGAACCCACCCTAGCATTTTTTGGCTGTTGTGGGTTTTCTAGGAAAATTTACATCCAGTAGTTTGCCATTGCTTTCTGTATGGCTGGCTTCTTGATACTACTGTCTAAACCTAACGACTACGGTGTTCGGCAATTTGCGGTCTTTTGGCAATTTCCGTTACCCTAGAAACCGTTGGAAACTTGCTTCGCAAATGTCGGCTGGGGTTTCGGGATAGGTCCTAATCTCTCATGAAATTTTGCGATTGGTGTGATTTTCATCCACTATAAAAAGCTGAAAACGGCGGGAAGAAACCCGTATAACAGCGCATGTCTACGACAGCCGGACGTCCTCTGTTTTTCTGTTACATCAGTTTGATTGAAAATAGCGATAAGTATTCAGGGTTGGCTTTAGGCTTTAACTGTTACTAGACATGGGAATGCTAGTTATAATTGAATTCTCCGTCCAATTTTACATTTGTGTATAAAATTTCTTTCTTGTCAGTGGCTAGGTAGATGTACAGTGACATTTTTCAGGCAATCGCTGGCTCAGCCAGTGGCTGTGTCTCATTGCCTGCCATCTTGTCCAATGACAGTCCAATGTAAACAAAGCCAAAACGATAAGTGCGCAGTTTGGTGCGCAGAGAAAACTTCTTGTTTCTGGGTCACAAGTTTTAGCAGCTGCTTTCTACATCTCATCTCCACAAAAACCTACATATCTCAGCTCAGAAATGACACACAAGCCTAAATGAGGTACCGTTGGAAAGAGATTGTTTACAGCTATCTAACTGTGCTGGTTTTATTGGTGTAGAGGGCATTTTAAAAATTTGACTAAAGTACCTAGTCTAAACCAACGCAAGGTGCAGGGCCTGCAGCTGGGATTGAACCCAGCACCTCGGCATTACAAAGCACATTCACAATGCCTAGGCCACAGATGCAGACCTGTATTTAAGACAACCCCTAATTTTAAACTTTAAAATTTGTTGCAAAAACACATCACGGCAAACAGAAAAATACTGGCACTATCAAAATAAATAATTTCATTACCTGCTTTGAAACAGCGAAAGGAAATTAGCTTTTATCGATCGCGGGTCATCCAGCCAAGAATCTTCCAGAGAAAGTAACCCAGAATAACAGGGTACAAGATGAGCTCTCTGTTTGATCTCTTCTGGTTGTCCTGTTCTATCACCTGTATTCGTCTCGTCAGTTTTGCAACCTACATCAGTCAATATCAAAAGACAGTGAAGTTCAGACTAGAGACAACATTGTAGATATAGATAATCTGTTTCAAGCGAATGAAAGAAGAAAGAAGAATAAGAAGTTAACAACATGACATCATCATCAAAATGCTTAACACCATAACCACATCATTATCGATAGCATAATCTCCATTATCATCTACCTCAATATCAATGACAATGTCATCAATATCAGCATCAATGACATCATCATAAAGATTATTATTTTCATCATCATCAACACAATCGTCAACATCATTATTACCAACATCATCATCCTAGCCCATTAAATACTGTAGCTTATCTATGACAAGTACCTCTACTTCAACATGTGCGACTCAGCTTAAACAATAACAATATAGAGTCAAAGTGACTAACACTTTGTGTACAATGAGTTAATAAGGGACCAACACTTTGTGTACAATGAGTTAATAAGGAACCAACACTTTGTGTACAATGAGTTAATAAGGGACCAACACTTTGTGTACAATGAGTTAATAAGTGACCAACACTTTGTGTACAATGAGTTAATAAGGGACCAACACTTTGTGTACAATGAGTTAATAAGGGACCAACACTTTGTGTACAATGAGTTAATAAGTGACCAACACTTTGTGTACAATGAGTTAATAAGGGACCAACACTTTGTGTACAATGAGTTAATAAGTTATCAACACTTTGTGTACAATGAGATAATAAGTGACCAACACTTTGTGTACAATGAGTTAATAAGTGACCAACACTTTGTGTACAATGAGTTAATAAGTGACCAACACTTTGTGTACAATGAGTTAATAAGTGACCAACACTTTGTGTACAATGAGTTAATAAGTGACCAACACTTTGTGTACAATGAGTTAATAAGTGACCAACACTTTGTGTACAATGAGTTAATAAGGGACCAACACTTTGTGTACAATGAGTTAATAAGTGACCAACACTTTGTGTACAATGAGTTAATAAGTGACCAATACTTTGTGTACAATGAGTTTATAAGTGACCAACACTTTGTGTACTATGAGTTAATAATGGACCAACACTTTGTGTACAATGAGTTAATAAGTGACCAACACTTTGTGTACAATGAGTTAATAAGTGACCAACACTTTGTGTACAATGAGTTAATGTAGAAAATGTTTGTGGCAGAGGGAAATGAAAAGGGGGGGGGGGAGGAGGGGTGAAGAGAGAAGGACAAAATAATAATAATAGGAAGAAGAAGAAGGAAGAGGATTAGTATAAAAATTAAGAAAAGAGGAGGAAGAAGAAGAGGAGGGAAAGAACAATAATAAGTAGGAGGAAGTGGAGAAGGAGAAAGAATAAGAAGAGGATGAAGACAAAAGAAATGGAGGAATAATAATAATAATAATAAGGGAAAAAAAAGGAGGAGCAGGAGTAGGAGACAGAGGAAAAGGAGAAGAAAGAAGATGGAGGAAGGGAAGAGAAGAAAGAATAAGAATTAGAGTAGGAGGAGAAGGATGAGGAATAATAAGGAGAAGAAAAAGAAGGAAGAAAAATAACCTGAAGGAAGGAGGAGGAAGAAGCAGAAGACGAGAAAAAAAAAGACCTACCTGTGTCCTCACCAATGTTGCTTCATCTTCCTCGTTAAGTAAAACTGGGTCATGAAGATTCACTCCCGGGTCATAAGGGACCGTGAAACCACCTCTACAAAAATGTTTAAAACATTCCTATATCATCATTAAAAAAGTGACAGAGTCTGTCAGCAATATTTTGTCAAGGGCTTGAAAATTCATGGGGGAAAAATAAATGGGGAACACAAACAGATATTTGCCTCCATGGTTTGATCATATAGATCATGCAGGAGAAGAGCATTCACTCGATCAGTGATTCTAGTGATCGTTTGAGACAGCAAAACATGATTGTCTAAGTTTATCAGCAGGGGGTACGCATACATTTTTGGGCATAGAAACAGAGTGACTTCCCTTTCCATGAATGAATTTCTGTGTCACAGGGCATGTCTTATTTTACGGGGGGTGGGGGGGGGGGGGGGCACGCTTAGTGACCGCCTACCAACACGCAGCATTTTACTAGTTTTTCTCACCGGCGTGCGATGTCACATGTTATATATTCCAGGATGTGAGCACTTTTAACGGTCGTAAATCATCCAGAACTGACCCTAACCCCAACCCCCCTATATCCCACGAGAGAGTGCAGCCTATGTCCCATGACCGCATACAGCTTAGGTTGCATGACTGTATGCAGCATATTTCATAGGCTGCACTCTTGTGGGATGTAAGGGAGTTAGGGCCAGTTCTGCATGTTTTGAGACTGTATCCCTGGCTGGTCAGTAAGCGTGACACCCCCCGTAACATAGGAAAAGCCCTGTGACATGGCAATTCATGAATGGCAAGAGAAGTCATCTATTTCTGGGCCTGAAAACATGAGTTGAACCCAGCAGAGCACATGATAAAGATGAGGAGAAATTTCATGATGATGATAACTTACAATATGACAAGCCAACTGTCATTTTATGGCAACATATGGATGCTTGTGTATTTACAGATGAATAAAAACATCACCTTCTGATTTTCATGGATGATGCAATCAATTTAAACACATTAGTTGATTTGTTTATGAATGGTTGGATTTTCCAGTTTAAGTTTTATTTTAGTTAGCCGACAGATCATCCCACTGCAGAAAGCAAGCATCAATTCAGAGGTCCTAGGTAGTTAGCATCCTTTGGATATTTTCTCTAGGTCATGCCAGTGTGTTGGGAAATGAGCAGGCAGATATACTTGCTGGTTCTGCACCACTTGGTGGTGAAGTGATGTATGACAAGCTAGATACTGTGAGGGCCCCTTGGGAGTGAGTGAACAGTGCGGAGGCACAGACAGATCATAAAACTCTGAGGAGAATGGCGCTGCGAGGAGTTACAAGGGGATCTGGCCAACGCTCAACACTCAGGGAAAGGGCGAGATGGAAATACAATCAGTAACTGGTGCCATCTGAACTGGAACTCTTTGCTTGCTGCTGAAGATTGGGACAGAGTGCTTATGGAAGTGTCCCGAGTGCTGTGATGTCGATTCTTAATTCAACATTCATCCTCACTCCACAGCCAACCAATCAGTCTACAAGTGTCCAGATTTCCCTGTTAATAAATCCCAAAATATTTAATGACTTCTTGGCTGATAACACAAATTCTTCTTCTTCTTCGTCTATAGTCCTGTTCTGCCTTTCAGAATCAGGTTTTGAAGAGGCATCAGGTTTTGAAGAGGCATCAGGTTTTGAAGAGGCATCAGGTTTTGAAGAGGCATCAGGTTTTGAAGAGGCATCAGGTTTTGAAGAGGCATCAGGTTTTGAAGAGGCATCAGGTTTTGAAGAGGCATCAGGTTTTAAAGAGGCATCAGGTTTTAAAGAGGCATCAGGTTTTGAAGAGGCATCAGGTTTTGAAGAGGCATCAGGTTTTAAAGAGGCATCAGGTTATGAAGAGGCATCAGGTTTTGAAGAGGCATCAGGTTTTAAAGAGGCATCAGGTGTGAGCCTTGGTATGTGACCTACAGATGCCGGTGTAAACAGCCTTTGAAATTCTCTGTGGCTGACCTCTAGCCTGCTTCCCTTGTGACTAATTAGGGTTACTTCCTTTGAAGTTGGTGTGCATGTGCCTAAGAGGTGAGGAACCAGAGTCTGCATACCAATAAGTCAGATCTGTAAAATAGGTGTGAACACAAAACTCAGGCACTGGAACAAGATCAAAGTCCAGAAATGGGCAACAATTGGAACTTTCTGCTGGAGATTACAGTTTGTGAATGTTCAGAAGAAGAAACCCCACCACAATTTCCCACTAATGTACATGTTCCTAATAACCGCCACACTTTCCCACTATTGTACACTTTCCTGATAACCACCACACTTTCACACTAACGTACACTTTTCTAATAGCCACCATACTTTCCCACTACTGTACACTTTCCTGATAACCACCACACTTTCATACTAACGTATACTTTCCTGATAACCACCACACTTTTACACTAACGTACACTTTTCTAATAGCCACCATACTTTCCCACTACTGTACACTTTCCTGATAACCACCACACTTTCATACTAACGTATACTTTCCTGATAACCACCACACTTTTACACTAACATACACTTTTCTAATAGCCACCATACTTTCCCACTACTGTACACTTTCCTGATAACCACCACACTTTCATACTACTCTACATTTTCCTGATAGCGACCATACTTTTACACTACTGAACACTTTCCTGATTACCGCCACACTTTCACACTAAAGTACACACACTTTCCTAATAGCCACCATACTTTTATACTACTGTACACCTTCCTGATAACCACCACACTTTCCCACTACTGTACACTTTCTGAAAACCACCACACTTTCTCACTACTGTACACTTTCCTGATAACCACCACACTTTCACACTACTGTACACTTTCTAAAAACCACCACACTTCCCCACTACTGTACACTTTCCTGATAACCACCACACTTTCCCACTACTGTATACTTTCCTGATAACCACCACACTGTCCCACAACTGTACACTTTCCTGATAACCACCACACTTTTCCACTAATGTACACTTTCCTGATAACCACCACAGTTTCCCATTACTCTACCCTTTCCTGATAACCACCACACTTTACCACTACTGAACACTTTTCTGATAACCAACACACTTTCACACTACTGTACGCTTTCCTGATAACCACCACACTTTCCCACTACTGTACCCCTTCCTGATAACCACCACACTTTCCCACTACTGTACACCTTCCTGATAACCACCACACTTTCCCACTACTGTACACTTTCCTGATAACCACCACACTTTCCCACTACTCTACCCTTTCCTGATAACCACCACACTTTACCACTACTGAACACTTTTCTGATAACCAACACACTTTCACACTAATGTACGCTTTCCTGATAACCACCACACTTTCCCACCAAAAACATCCCAACACTCACATATGGCCATTGCTGGTCCTGTGACCCATATTAGGCCCCATTCCATGAGCTGCAATTAACTTCTGGTCATCAGTCTCCTCCACAACAGGGAACCTCTCCTCCAGAGTTAGGATCCTGGGAGGAGTAATGAGCCCCACATGTGATGAGCTGTCAGCAGAGACCTTGGAGCTGCCAGGGAAGTCTAGGTTGAGGTCTTGCTTCAAGGCGATATGATGGCTGTCCCCTGAAAGTAGAGTATCGGTAAGATCACAATACATAAAATGCTGATTCTTATTCTTCTTTTGTTCGCTTGAAATAGATTATCTATATTTGCAATGTTGTCTCTAGTATGAACTTCTGTTGTCTCTTGTATGAACTTCTGTTGTCTCTAGTAGGAACTTCTGTTGTCTCTTGTATTAACTTCTGCTGTCTCTAGTATGAACTTCTGCTGTCTCTAGTATGAACTTCTGCTGTCTCTAGTATGAACTTCTGCTGCCTCTAGTATGAACTTCTGCTGTCTCTAGTATGAACTTCTGTTGTCTCTAGTAGGAACTTCTGCTGTCTCTAGTAGGAACTTCTGTTGTCTCTAGCATGAACTTCTGCTGTCTCTAGTATGAACTTCTGCTGTCTCTAGTATGAACTTTTGCTGTCTCTAGTATGAACTTCTGCTGTCTCTAGTATGAACTTCTGCTGTCTCTAGTATGAACTTCTGCTGTCTCTAGTATGAACTTCTGCTGTCTCTAGTATGAACTTCTGCTGTCTCTAGTATGAACTTCTGCTGTCTCTAGTATGAACTTCTGCTGTCTCTAGTATGAACTTCTGCTGTCTCTAGTATGAACTTCTGCTGTCTCTAGTATGAACTTCTGCTGTCTCTAGTATGAACTTCTGTTGTCTCTAGTATGAACTTCTGTTGTCTCTAGTATGAACTTCTGTTGTCTCTAGCATGAACTTCTGTTGTCTCTAGCATGAACTTCTGTTGTCTCTAGCATGAACTTCTGCTGTCTCTAGTATGAACTTCTGCTGTCTCTAGCATGAACTTCTGTTGTCTCTAGCATGAACTTCTGTTGTCTCTAGCATGAAGTTCTGTTGTCTCTAGTATGAACTTCTGCTGTCTCTAGTATGAACTTATGTTGTCTCTAGCATGAACTTCTGTTGTCTCTAGCATGAACTTCTGTTGTCTCTAGCATGAAGTTCTGTTGTCTCTAGTATGAACTTCTGCTGTCTCTAGTATGAACTTCTGCTGTCTCTAGTATGAACTTCTGCTGTCTCTAGTATGAACTTCTGTTGTCTCTAGTATGAACTTCTGCTGTCTCTAGTATGAACTTCTGCTGTCTCTAGTATGAACTTCTGTTGTCTCTAGTATGAAATTCTGCTGTCTCTAGTATGAACTTCTGCTGTCTCTAGCATGAACTTCTGTTGTCTCTAGCATGAAGTTCTGTTGTCTCTAGTATGAGCTTCTGTTGTCTCTAGTATGAACTTCTGCTGTCTCTAGTATGAACTTCTGTTGTCTCTAGTATGAACTTCTGTTGTCTCTAGAATGAATTTCTGCTGTCTCTAGTATGAACTTCTGTTGTCTCTAGCATGCAGTTCTGTTGTCTCTAGTATGAACTTCTGTTGTCTCTAGAATGAATTTCTGTCTCTAGTATGAACTTATGTTGTCTCTAGTATGAACTTCACTGTCTTTTGTAATTCACTCAGTGACCCGTAAAGCTTGGCCTCACCCCGTTTTTCTCTTGGCCAAAAGTTCTGCTTTGATATGTTGAATAAGAAACAGATTCTTCTTCTTCCAAGCCCAAGAGGTTCACTGCTGTAGATACTGCCTACCTCCATTCATCTGTGATTGACTGGCTTTCTCTTTCCGGCTGGTGACTCCAAATGATTATCAGTCTATCTGCATATTATCTGTCATCTCCTTGGTCTGCTGTTTGGTCTACTCGTATTCAACTCTTTTGTGCAAGCTGTTTTTGTCTCTGTCTTCTGGAGTTTCCTCTGCATCCATGCCCTCTATTTTATTATGGCCTGGAGAGTATGAGGCACCTGGGTGTAACCAGAGGGTCTGGCTGGCTCACTACACTTAGAGGAAAGGTAAGATGGACATATAACCAGATTGTGACCGGTACCATCAGTATTGGAACTCTGCTCTGTCTGCTGAAGATGAGGACGCAGCATACATGGAAATGCCCTGAGTTCTGTGATATCAATTCTGGACTCAACTCAAACCATGCCTTCTATATACCACAAGTACTGCAGTCTGTCAGGCCTCAGGAAGCCAGTATGTAGTGGTTATTTTAACAGATTATGAGCTTCATTGCTGCTTCTAACTCTCCATTGTTTGCATCTTTGATGGGTTGAAAAAAATCTCTTACTGAATGCTGAGTGGTCTACTGGACAGAAACAAATCTCAATCACTTACTGAGGATCAAACCCAGGCCATGTGCAAAAGAGCCCAGAGTGTTTCAAATTACTGTTCCACGTATAAGATTATTTATTTTTCCAAATTTTATAAGTTTAAAATTGTGGGTCGCCTTATATATGAATGTGTTTAAAATGATTATTTCTTTTTTTTTTAGGCTAACAAAAATAGGGGCTGTCTTATACATAGATAAATATGGTATGTTTCTTCATGGCAAAATCCCAAAGGACTGAAGGAGGAGTATACTTTCCATACAGTAAAATACCCACTGAAATAATGGCGGAGAGGAAGAGAATTATGTGTTTATTCATTTAAGTCTACTCAGGGGCCATACAGTCTTTCTAAGAAAGTTACTGGGAAAAAAATGGCAAGACAGGGTCCCGGATACTGTCGTATTAAATAGAGCTGGCATTTCCAGCATCAATACCATCCTGATGCAGTCACAGATTCGATAAGCAGGTAATGTCATCTGCTTGCCAAACCATCGGCTCCCTAAAAATAGTCTTGTGTGGTGAGATACTGGAAGGTAGACACTCTCATGGTAGCCAGCAAAAACAATACTTCAAGGACACACTAAAGGCATCACTCTTCAAGCCTTTAATACAGACCCTGACACTCGGGAGGCTGCTACACAAGACCGGACTACATGGCGTAAGTCTGTTCGAAGAGGGGCAGCGACCTGCGAGGCTTCAAGAAAAAGAAAAGCTGAGCAGTGCAAGCAGACTAGAAAGAAAATGGGGATTGTCACGGAGCTCTCCAGCACAGAAAGATCATTAATGCAATACAACTGGCAACAAGCCTCTTGCCTGGTCACAAGCTGAACAGCTCTTGTCTAAACTGTGATATCCTAAAACAAAGGAGGGCAGGAGGAGAAAAAGTCTTGAATGTTGAATTAAGAATGCTGAATGTTGAATTAAGATTGTTGAATGTTGAATTAAGAATCAACATCATAGCACTCGTGACACTCTTAATTTTCAGCAGCAAGCGAAGAGTTCCAATTCCGATGGTACCAGTAATTGTATCCCATCCTTTCCAGAGTGTTGAACGTCTGCCAGATCCCCTGGTAACTTTTCGCAGCGCCATTCTCTTTAGACCGTAATGATCTATCTGCACCTGTTCACTCGCCCCCAAAAGTCTCTCATAATATATAACTTGTCATTTATCAATTCACCACTAAGTGGTGCAGAGCTAGCCAGCCAGCCAGTCTATCTGCCTGCTCATTTCCCACCACACCAGCATCACCTGGAGAAAATATCCAAAGGATGTTCTGAAGTGATCCTTGCCAATCTGCACAAAGCATGCCTGTTTTCACCTTTCTCAGCATGTTCTGTGAGTCAGTTACAATCACGGCATGTGTGTACAGCTGATAAGAAAGTCTTCTAGTGCTGAAGTATTTGCTAAGACAATGAAGGAAGATGGATAGTAGTATTTGTCCTAATGAGGAAATACCTGCCTAAATAATGGAGCAGGAGGAGGATGAAGAGAAGAAGGAGGAGGAGGATACCTGTTTCTACACAGCGAAATCCTAAAACATTTGCAGGAGGATCTGTTCTTCCATATTCGGAAACACCTGCTAAAACAATGAAAAGTGAAAGAGGAGTATATTTCCACATGATGAAATCATCATCAGAATCATAGTTCTATTTCACCGGGTTACCAGCTGCTGTTGATTGCCTGAACAACTCCCTCCACCTGTGTGAACTAACACAACATAACATGACCCTTGACCCGTTAGGGTCGTGGAGGTGTATCGATGGAAGCACTAGCGCACACAAAAGCCATCTTTCTGTCTTTCGCTTGATAAATAACTCAGTCCTGTCCATTTCTTGATGTCATTCCAGGTTCTTCTTTGCCCTTTTCTTCTTTGACTACCCTTCAATGTTCCTCAAAATACAGTCTTTGCAATTGAATCATGTCTCACCATGTGCCCGAACCAAGCTAGCTTGCAGTGTTTCATTACTGCCAAGAGAGGCTCCTGATGTCCTGCAAATTTGTAGATTTTTGTCTCTGACAAATATGTTAGCTTTGTGTTCTAAATAACTAATTCGTAAACATTTATATTTGAAAGCCTTCATTCTCCTTTCCATTCCCACAGTAAGAGTCCTGAGTGAAGAGTGAATTAGATGCAACCGACCGATCTATATGTAGATCTTTCTTGGACATCCAGGTGTTCCTTGATCATCCAGGTGTTTCTTGGTCATGCAGGTCTTTCTCAGTCATCTAGGTGTTTCTTGGTCATCCAGGTCTTTCTTGGTCAACTAGGTCTTTCTTGGTCATCTAGGTCTTTCTTGGTCATCTAGGTCTTTATTGGTCATCCAGGTCTTTCTTGGTCATCCAGGTGTTTCTTGGTCATCCAGGTCTTTCTTGGTCATCCAGGTCTTTCTTGGTTATCCAGGTCTTTCTTGGTCATCTAGGTCTTTCTTGGTCATCCAGGTCTTTCTTGATCATCTAGGTCTTTCTTGGTCTGCCTCTTCTTCTCTTTCCTTCTACTGAGAAAAGAAATGACTAAATGATGAAATACCTGCTAAAATAATTCTGTCTGGCACTGTCATCCCCACAAACTGTGTTGCTGCTGGTAGTTCTTGATGGACAAAACCATTTTCCTCCACATCAAAGTCTGAACCCACACCAATTCTGTGGAAATATTTCATGTAATAATACACACATGCAGGAACAGGCAGATATAAAAGTAATATTAAAGGTAAGAGCAGCTTCTGTAGCACTAAGATACCTGAGAAAATCAAAAGAAATGATACCTATTATCAAGAGTAGAATATTAACTCTTATATCAAATTGGTACTACTGTATGGAGTAAAGATATGGTGTAGGTAAAATGAAAAAGAACCGCATTTAAAAAAAGAAAAAGAAGAAGAAGAAGAAGAAGAAGGAGAAGAAGAAGAAGAAAGAACCTAAAAAACAAAACAAAGCTGCAGGAGAAGAGACTGAGGGGGAAGAAGAGGAGCAGTGAAAGTGAAAGAAAAATCAAACAAAAGAAGGAGTATAATCAACATGGTAAACAACTAAAAATACCCCCCACCCCACAGACACACACACTCAACCCTCTGAAATGTCCTGGGCAGTACAGGTGGCTAGTGTGATGCTGGCCACATCCCCCGCGAAGCCTGGCTGGTCTGTTCAAAACTAGGTCTAGCCCTATATGGCCATAGTACCAAAAGCGTAAATCAGAGGTTCTCAACCTGTGGGTCACGACTCTTTTGTGGGTCAAACCACCCTTTCACAAGGGTCGCCCAAGACCATAGGAAAACACATATTGATTGAAGTTAGGAAGTAGCAACACAAATAATTGTATGGTTGGGGGCGCAACATGAGGAACTGTATTAAAGGGTTGCCACAACATCAGGAACTGTATTAAAGGGTTGCCACAACATCAGGAACTGTATTAAAGGGTTGCCACAATATCAGGAAATGTAGTAAAGGGTTGCCATAACATCAGGAACTGTATTAAAGGGTTGCCACAACATCAGGAACTATATGAAAGGGTTACAACAAACATCAGGAACTGTATTAAAGGGTCGCTACACCATAAGGAACTATATTAAAGGGTTGCCACAAAATCAGGAACTGTATTAAAGGGTCGCTACAACATAAGGAACTGTATTAAAGGGTTGCCACAACATGAGGAACTGTATTAAAGGGTCGCTACACCATAAGGAACTATATTAAAGGGTTGCCACAGCATCAGGAACTGTATTAAAGGGTCGCTACAACATAAGGAACTGTATTAAAGGGTTGCCACAACATGAGGAACTGTATTAAAGGGTTGCCACAAACATCAGGAACTGTATTAAAGGGTTGCCACAACATGAGGAACTATATTAAAGGGTTGCCACAAACATCAGGAACTGCAACAAAGTGTTGCCACAACATGAGGAACTGTATTAAAGGGTTGCCACAACATGAGGAACTGTATTAAAGGGCTGCCACAACATGAGGAATTGTATTAAAGGGTCGCCACATCATGAGGAACTGTATTAAAGGGTTGCCACAACATCAGGAACTGTATTAAAGGGTTGCCACAACATCAGGAACTGTATTAAAGGGTTGCCACAACACCAGGAACTGTATTAAATGGTTGCCACAACACCAGGAACTGTATTAAAGGGTTGCCACAACACCAGGAACTGTATTAAAGGGTTGCCACAACACCAGGAACTGTATTAAAGGGTTGCCACAACATCAGGAACTGTATTAAAGGGTCACCACAAACACCAGGAACTGTAATAAAGGGTTGTGGCATTGGGAAGGTTGAGAACCACTGCGTTAAACGGTCCTTGACCTTTTTCTACTTACCTGTGTGGCACCTGCATCCTACTGCTGATCTGTGAGATAAACTCAGGATCGTACGTCCTGGGTTCGGCATCAATAACATAATCAGAAGGGTGAGTGTGGTTGGGCAGCCTGATCCGACTTTGGTCCTAAGCAAAGGAAGAAACAACATTCACATAATCTTTCTCTCATCTGTTTGTTAGTCACTGTTATACAAAATGTTTTGTCTGCATCAATAATAGTATTACAGTGTTGAATGAACATCATAATAATATGGGAATATGCAGCATTTTATTACTGAACTTGTTTGTCTGAAATTGTATGGTGGGATACAGGAAGGTAGACGCTCTCACGGTAGCCAGAAAAAAAAATGCTTGAAGGACACGCTAAAGGCATCACTCTTCAAGCCTTTAATACCGACCCTGACACTTGGAAGGCTGCTACACAAGACCGGTTGAATGAACATCATAATAATATGGGAATATGCAGCATTTTATTACTGAACTTGTTTGTCTGAAATTGGTAGACGACTAATTAATAATAATAATAAAATACCGCCAATTTTACTAAGTAAGTATGGTGCTACAAAGCCTGGCATATGATATCACAACGTCTAATTTAAGAATGGAGGTGGAGGCAGTCACTGCTGCCTTTCACTGGCTTGAGAGTCAGCTGTACACACATGTCGTCATTGTAACTGACTCACAGAGCATGTTGAGAAAGGTGGAGACAGGAATGCTTCATGCAGAGTGGCAAACATCACTTCAAAGGTCCCGGGTAGTTAGTATCCTTTGGATATTTTCTCCAGGTGATGCCGGTGTGTTGGGAAATGAGCAGGCAGATAGACTGGCCGGTTCTGCACCACTTGGTGGTCAATTGATGTATGACAAGCTGGATGTTGTGAGGGCCCTTTAGGAGCGAGTAAACAGTGCTGAAGCACAGATAAATCATTATGGTCTGAGGAGAATGGCACTGCGAGGAGTTACAAGGGGATCTGGCTGATGCTCGATACTCAAGAAAAATGAGACAGGGATATACAATCAGACAGTTACTGGTACCATCAGAATTTTAACTCTTCGCTTGCTGCTGAAGATGGGGACGGAGCGCTTAGGAGGTGTCCCGAGTGCTGTGATGTCGATTCTTAATTCAACATTCAACTACAAAGTATATCATAATTAGCTGTGATAAGGTCGGCTGAGTTAACTCTTTTAGGACATTTCATCGATAAATGGGCTTGATAATGTCTATTGCTTTAACAAATCACAGATTTGTTGGTGTTCGGCACAAATACATTCTTTTGTTTGATAGGAAAATGAATTTGTATGAACATGTTTTGAAAACAACAATTAGTGAAAGGAAGTACCATTGTTCTCTAAGCATGGTGAGGCAATAGGTTTGATTTTCAATTTTGTTAAAATTAGTGTGCTATGAGTTATGAGTTAGATTATCTTCATAGCACTCCGGACACATCCATAGGAGCTCAGATTCCCCTCTCAACATATTCATCAGCGTCGTGCGGTTGATAGTACCAGTTCTATGTTGGTTAACAAGACTTTGTGTGCGTCCAGTGTGCTTCTCGTGCTTGGCTGTGCTGATCTTTACTCAAAATTCACGTATTCTTAGAATTGATGTGGACATGTTGCTTCCAAATCAGGATGAAGGATGAAGTTTAATATATTTCAGCGGATCATCTATGTTTCAATAAGCCGTGTCTGGAATTTAGTTGTTGTGAAATTTGACATGTCATGCAAAAATAATCATAAAACCCTTAGTATTCTGACTATCTGTCTAAAAAAAAAGACTAGCTGATTCATAAAAGAATAGCGAATGCATGTTAATTCTTTGATACAGATAGAAGTGTTGTTGATCAAGTTATAGAACAAAATTAAAAAAAAGGAAGGTAATCAGAATATTTTATGTGAAAAAAATTGTCTGTGTCTAATATCATAGAATGTTGTGTTATTTTAATATTTTGTTCTTGTAATACTGATATTTAATAGTTTGGATGCATTCATTTTTCTTCAATTTGATGTATTATATGCCACTTTACAGCTACTTATTTTTCCTCAAAAAAGGTTTTAGCTTTGTCATGTTGCATTAGAAAAAATTGGCTATCCTCTGAATAACGGCCACATATTATGGCGGCCAAAAATACACCCTGATAGGGCCTCAGTCACATGTAAATTGCGGACTTCAGCGACTTAAATTGCAGACCGGCGACTATGCCGCCACCGCTATTTTATATGACGTTACGTGTGGCGTGAAGCCGGACTGAACAAGATGGCTGGGACTCACAAGCAGAAACTTCCGCATCTCCTGCAGCTTTGCTCGTGAGTCCCAGCAATCTAGTTTAGCCCCACTCCGCGCCGCTACTCGCGATGCAGGAGATACTCTCGGCGGTGGCAGTATAGTTGCAGAAAGTCCGCAATTTACATGTGACTGAGGCAGTATTTTTGGCAGCCATAATATGTGGCCGTTTTTCTGAGGATAGCCAAAATTTTCGCTGCCTAAACACCAGAAAAAATTTTGTTCTGAAATAGTTAACTGGGCTATCCTCTGAAATAAGGGCACATATTATGGCAGCCAAAAACACACCCTAACAAGGCCTCAGACACATGTAAATTGCGGACTACCAGCGATTTGAAATGCGGACTTCCGGCGACTACTGCCACCACCGAGAATATCTCCCACGCTGCTGCGCGCGGCGTGAAGCGGGGCTAAACTAGATGGCTGGGATTCACGAGCAGCAGCTACCACATCTCCTGCAGCTTCCTTCCTTTTATTTGCTCGTGAGTCCCAGCCATCTAGTTTAGACCCGCTCCACATCGAGCGTTGCAGCGTTAGAGATACTCTCAGCGGTAGCAGTAGTCACCGGAAGTCCGCAATTTACATGTGACTGAGACCCTGTCAGGGTGTTTTTATGGCCGCCATAACATGTGCCCATTATTCGGAGGATAGCTGTTAACTAACTGATATCAAGCACTAAGGACATTTCCATATGTGACCCTTTCCTATCTTCAGCAGGTAGACATCAGAGTTCCAATTCCCACGGATTAGTATTGCAGTACTGTTAATGGTAGTCAGCCGTATGTGTATCTGACGTAATGCATTATCATGTATCATTGTATCTGTGTACACTGTAAATAAACACTCATACATTATACATGACACATCTTGATCATCTTACTGTGATAATTTGGTTCTCCTAGCAGATTTGGACGCAAGCTGGATGGCTTCAGTCGCCTTAGTGGGAGTTCTCTCCCTTGGCCGCACTCAAAACAAGTAGCGGAAAGAGTCACGAATCAAACAAGACAGTGAGGTCGACATCAGGGCTGCCAATGCTTGGGTGTGTCCCCCAGATCTGGGTTTTTTTTTAACGCTGCGGAGATATCTGGTTTTTTTGTTTTGTTTTGTGTGTTTTGCCAATCTGTATGCTTTAATGACCGACAAATTTGCGTGGTTAGGGGTAGGATTAGGGGTTAGGGTTAGGATTAGGGGTAGCGTTAGGGTTGCGGTTAGGGTAAGGATTGCGGTTAGGGTTAGGGGTAGGGTTAGGGTTAAGGTTAGGGGTAGGGTGAGGGTTATGGGTAGGGTTAGGTTTAGCGTTAGATGTGACAATTTTGACGCCGTAGTTCCCTATAATCGCACACAGTCACATACACACTCAAACAGTCGACGGACGGTGGATGCGACTGAAACGGACAATTCGCCACCGATTGGGCACCAGCCGCCCGCTATTGGCGTCATATTTGGCAGAATTTCAGTGGCGCCACTCCCACAAGCATCAGATTGTCGGCCACTATTTCGACCAAATTTTCCCATCTAACCCTACCCCTACCCCTACACGCAAAACGCAACCCTACACGCAAAACGCAGCCCTACACGCAACTGTAGGATGATGATAGACACCCTACGCAGCCCTACACGCAACAGTATGATGATAGGTTACACTAGACGCAACCGTACGCAACCCTACACGCACCCGGATGATGATAGGTAAGTATGTCATTTGATTCGTGACTTTTTCCGCTACTTGTTTTGAGTGCGGCCAAGGGAGAGAACTCCCACTAAAGCGACCGAAGCCGTCCCGCTTGCGTCCAAATCTGCTAGGAGAGCCGATAATTTAATGAATGTAAAAAATAAAAAAAAAACTACGCTAATAATTATTTTAGAAAAAATACTTCAATGTTCTTATTCATCTTTGCTGTCCTGCCAGAAATTCCAGGCCGTTTACATCAGCAATGAGTCAACTTGTGAGGCAGCAAGCCTCGGTTGATATTTTGTTGTTCCCTGATCTCTTTCTGTCATTCGCCTGCTGCCATTTTTGTATCATCGCGGGAGACAACTCTAATGCAAGGAGAACCAAGGGCAAAATTATCTGTGACTCATTTGATTTGATTAGATTTGATGCAAGAACCGACATCACAGCATTCGGAGCATTCCCGTAAGCGCTCCGTCCTCATCTTTAGCAGCCAGCGAAGAGTTCCAATACTAATGGTGCCATTAGCATTCTGATTAAACGTCCGTCTTGCCTTTCCTCTGAGCCTCGAGCATCTGCTAGAACCTCTTGTCACTCCCCACTGTACACACTCTCCCACAAGGCACTAACCACGTGTGCCTTATCATGCCTCAGTATTCCACCAAGTTGTGTAGAGCCAGCCAGTCTGTCCGCCTGTTCATGTCCTAACACCGGCATATCTGACTATTCAGGTGGTAGTTTGACCCACTCCTCTCCTCGCCAAATGTTCTCACGGATGCAAACCTGTCTGATTGTGTCTTCTGCCTGAGCCATCCATGTCTTACCTCTTATCAACAATGGGTAAAGCTTGGGCGACTATCCCCCAACCCAGCACGTCAACTAGTGGCGGATTGTGGAACGGCCTCTAGACATAGAGGTTAGCTGTGAATACCCAATAAGCAGCCGCGGACCAATTGGCGGTGGGCACAGAGGGTGAGGCTGAATTTCAGGGTGGAATCTGAAATCCTTATAAAATGCCTCATATGCTTGGAGACGTGACTGCCAAGCGGGTCGGAGCGCTATAATCCCTTTCCCCAGGTAGGTGGAACCCGTTAGCTTTGGACAGCAGTCCATCTAGGAGACGGCAAACTCCTAATAAAAACCCCCAAGTTCAGGGTAGGCCTAGGAACTGGATAGCCACGGGTGAGCTGGTCGTGAACGTTGGTCGTCCGGCAAGCGAGCGGGGCGGCACCAGGCGTATGGACTCCTACTGGTCATCCATTGCCCCTTCCCTAGCAGGCAGGCAACACTAGGTGACCGGCTATGTCCTGCAGTACTTTTTTTTTTTTCATTGCATATGGATCGGTGACTCAATGAATCAATAAGATTTTGTTTCCACATTGAATGTTGGCTGCAATGGATCTCCACTATATTTTACCTTCTAGTTGAACTGTCTCTCTCCCCCCCCCTCTCTCTCTCCCCCTCTCTCTCTCCCCCTCTCTCCCCCCCTCTCTCTCTCCCCCTCTCTCTCTCTCCCCTCTCTCTCCTCTCTCTCTCTCTCTCTCTCTCTCTCTCTCTCTCTCTCTCTCTCAGACTAATGTTCGTTCATCTTCTGATGCTGTCCCCAACTTGCATCGCTGTCTATCTCAAGCATTCGACGTCACCCTCAGTAAGTAAAGCAAGCAGCCACTTTTACTTTCTAGTATTAAAATTGATGGTGTGGCAACTGCTGATCTGTTGGTGACTTATGCTACCATCCATGATGAACTGCATTTCTAATGTCAGACTGTTTGTGTTAGCACTTCGGATGGCTACCGTATGCTTTTAATACGTGTGTATGCTAGTGCATATGCTGAGACATCAGTCTGTCAGTCTTTCCACAAGAAACTGTGATAAACATTTTGTGCGTTTTTCGTTGGTACAGGAGCGGAGCAACCATGGGGTGACCCGTTTGCTATGAAGCTGAAACTAAGATTACTAGATTACCAGATTCAAGTATACTCTAAGAGACCCATTTTTCAAGGCTGGGTCGACCTTGGCGTAGGGTCCATAATATCTTGAGCTAGAAACGTAATGTCCTACTAATGTTTTCAGCTGAAATACATATGTGTGATCAACATAACGCTCGCCGCACATAGCACAAAGTCTTGGAGAGTATTGTAGAGACCATCAACAAACCATCCAATCAACACTCACAAAAAAGCCAACAGTTCATTGCCTTCCCTTGTAAAATGTAGATGTTCCTTTTCCACGCTTTTAGGCGCAATGAGAATATAGGGCTAGATCTTATAGTTAGTTAGTTAGTTGGGTTATCCTCATTGCACTCCGGACATGTCCATAGGTGCTCAGATCCTCCCCTCAGTATGAACCCCAACGAGCTATAGGGCTAGATCTATATTGTTACAAACCAATCGGCACTTGGTGGGTCATGTGGTCAGTACCACGCCGACCGCCTTTACTTCCCAGGACGGCTCCTGGTACCCCATTAAGACTGGGTCGACTTGGGAGCCAAAGTTATTTTTGAAAAAAAAAGGTCGGCTCCGTCAGGATGCGAACCCACGACCTTCCGATCCGCAGGCGGGCGTCTAGCCACCACCGCAACGGCGCCTCCAATTGTTTTCACTTGTGGTAAATGCAAACACTTTCCTCCAGTGTCTTTACAGAAAACATGATCGTCTGCTTCTTGTCCTGCTTCATATTCATCACAAGCGCTATGTCTGTACATCTGGAGACCAGTGCTGCCACTTTTCTTTGACAAAATACATCCAAAACGGAGTCAAAAAATGTTTAAAAACATCTAAATTTGCTTGGTAAACATCTAGAGAAAACTTCCAAATAGAAAAAGTCACAAATTGCATAGCAATTGATATGACTTACCCTATAGAATCATGTCCTCATCTTTACTGAAGTCTGCCTCACAAGATCCACATGATAAACTTAGCTTGGATGATGAAGTTGAAGCTTCAGATCCAAAATGACTCTGGTATGCTTTTGCTGTTCCAATTTCTTTTAATACCCAATCAGGGAGCTGATAAGTGAAACATCCTTTTCCTACTCTTATCAGGCCGAATTTTATTGTCAAGATAGCATATAAGTGGTCAAATTTCATCCTTTTTCTTAGGTTATATTTGATAAATTCACTCCAAGTGAAAAACGTTTAGAAAAACATCTACCATCTAAAGGTCAAAAACGCCATCTAAATGAAAGGGAAAACATCTAAATATGGATGTAAAATATCCAAAGTGGCAACACTGCTGGAGACTCGGAAGCGGGAAACTACTTCTTCTTCTTTGCTCACCGACTGTAAGCTCCAGCGGGAAGTCCTTGGTGTTCGTACTTATGTACTTTGTACCATTGCTTGAGTGTTGTGTGTACATCCGTTTAACTGGCGTATTTGTGTGTAGTTAGTTGTTTCTTGCCGCTCGAGCAGATGCATTCCGACTTCGAAGGAAGTCCCCAGTTAGTCGACACTTACGACATGCTTGCTGGGGAGGCAATGGGTCTATTCTTGCTTCCCCCACACTGGGAGGAAGCGGGAAACAGAATACAGAAAGAAAACACAATGGTCGATAAATAATGCCTTGACAATACTAACAGAGATGATAGTGGAGCATGAGAAGGTTTGAAGGAACGTGAAAAACTGAAACGAAACAGAAAAAAAAAAACTTTTAGAGGTGGGGAAACGATCGGAAGACAGTTCTGTGGACAAATAGACAATTTCAAATGAAAAAAACAAAAAACAAATCGAGATTTTGTGTGGTTTCCTCGGGAGGCTTTGAATGTAAATTAAATTTTAAAATAACTATTGTCCTGAAACCAGTTTTTTCTTTCTTTACGGGATAGGGTTTGATGAACTTTCATAGACTCAGTTTCAATGGCAGGAAAACGGTGTGAAGACAGTTATATGCCAGAATCGACAAATAATAATTTTAAAAAATCCAGAATTTGTTTCGTTTCCACAGGCGGTTATTAGCTCTTCGGAGTCTAAATAAAATTTTTAAATAACCACTGTTTCCCCTAAATTCCGTTCAGGTGATGGGGTTCGTTGAACTTCGTAAACTCAATAACGATGCCCCAGAATTATTATGTTGTGTACTGGGATTTTATAAACTGTTGATAGTTCTCAGCGCTGTTCATGTTGGCAGTTAGTTGTAGGTTGGACTCCTGCTCATGTACTCACAGTCTGTCTTTTGTAGGGAGTCAAAAAGCGTCTCTGTCGTCGTGTAAGGATCTCTTTCTGTGAGTGGACAGTCATACAGCATGGACACTTGGTGTGCGCCTTGTCTATTGACAGCATCCAACAGGACATTATGCGTGGGGTCTCCGTTGAGAATTGCTCAAGTCATTTGCCTCTCGCTCTGAATGTCGCGGGTTCGTTCCAGCTAGGCGTCGATTGGTTTATGAGTGCAGTTTTTAAAGAGACACATAGGGATCGCTGCAGATGCTACGAAGTTCATCCTTTGTACGATGCTAGAGTTAGACAGCTAGCTGTTCTGTGGAGAGCGACTGTGCCATACTGGATAACACCCAGTGCAATGAAGTCGATCCTCTCGACTTTACAGTGTTACTTGAGGGTTTTATGAAAGAAAGAGTTCGATGTGTGAACAACCATTGTACCACAGGAACAGTCCTCATCTACACTTTGCTGTTGGAGACGAAGCCGGTAGGCATGCCCAATATGCCCCGAGGGTGGAGATGTGGTTTTGTGTGAATGTCGAGAACATCCTAGACAGATTTCTTAAAGAAACTGACGCATGAAGATAATTGATAGCCCACATTGGAAGGAGGTAATCTACATTTCTTAGTCAGATCACGAAAAGGTTTTATGTTTATATTTATTCAACGGATCGACATCATCGCCCACGGGTGTAACCCATAAGTGCTCCGTTCTTCTTCTTCTAACCCAAGCCTGAGTCTGAAGAATCTCAGCACACTGCATGAACTCTGATGCACCTGCGAGGATCCTGATATTCTTTGGGTAGATTTTAAATTCCAAATTTTGCCCGGGCAGCGCCGTAAGGTTACTCTTTTTGATTTCCAACTGCCAAGGGATTTTTTACGTGCGCAAGAATACACAATGGCGTCCAATATTACTACACAGAGACCAAGGAAAATTAAATTTTTTTTTTTAACGTATCCAGAAACCATGAGTTGTAAACCCTTTGGCTCGGTACTATGGATATCGCAACCCTTCGGCCTTGATTCCATTATAGGTACCGTTAATCTGGGAGAAATGTGGCT